AACAGTATAATGCAGCAACGCATGCGACACCAAGAAAAAATTCAGGTCACGCGACGTTTTTATTAAACGCCGCCCTCTTTTTGTCTTTCCTCTCGAATGAAATATACAGGTGGGCGTAAGGAAATTAAATTAAACAATTAAACTCGCTCTCCGATGGCGGAGAATGTTAACTACGCGTACAATAAAATAATTTTTCGTTGGAGTTCCGCCTGTTTCATGGTTTTGCATGTCAACAATGACACTCTGATTTTATTCAACCGTCTGTGTAATTAAAAATTCTTAATCATTAGACATTCGCGACGGTTATACGATCGAGAATAACGTATACTGAATTTCATTCGAACGTTTGTAGAGGAAACAAAAATTCGTTTCTTTCTTTTCGCCGTGTACACGTTGGAGTTTAATTAAAAATAAAGTAATTGATATTCAAACACTTCAAAACACAGCGAAGAATCTTTCTCCTCGGAAATTCATACGGAATACATAAATAAATGCAAACAATGTATAGATAAATCAGTGTTAAGCGAAATATAATTCGATTATACGTAATTAATGATACTTCAAAAAATATTCGCTTATACATTACCTTCCATACTCTTCAATTGTTAATTTACAATTGACATCTATTATAGTGAGGTGTAATTTATAATTACAACTGGTAAGTTTTAATCGAATCAAAGTTGCATCTTAATCGTTAATTTTAATATGTAATCTGATTATATTTTGTCTAATCCAGTGAATCTAATTAACGAATGAAATAATTAACAATGAACTAGTCGAACACGAAGTGTAAATAATATAAGATTCTAGAGAAAATAATTGTTACACGCTTTATTGTTTCGGACCGGTAACGGAAGGAGTACTGTGACTCTTACCTGGACAAATAGCATCGCGTTTGTTTGCCGCGTTTGTGTACTGCAAGTAGAAATAGTAAATAATAGCCAGAACCAGCGTCAGCCTGTACCCGGGACTCGCGCGTGCACGATGAAAGTTTTAAATTTCCCTGGAAACGAAGCCATATTCCAAAACATGTTATTGCACAATCGGAATTTATTTTTTACCATGGAAAATCTTTGAAACTCTGTACACTTTATCCATCGAAAATTCGCACAATGGTCGCGGAATTGTTTAGAAAAATAAACACAATTTCACGGTGTTCATTAAATGACTATATTATATTCTTTACGGTTATGGAACTGTGGGTACTTAAATTAATTTACATTTTCGTGAATTAACGAGAAACGAAATGAAAGTTCACGTTTTATATGAAAATCTTTATTTGATTTCGAATTCAATGACGCTCGTATTGAATTTCGATACGGTTTTTGAATCGAAAGTGCATTACAAATTCATATCATGCACAGAACATTGAAATTCAGTGTGTACGATATAACAGTTTTCTCCATATTGTCCTGCATTAACACGAACCGAACGCACCGTGATGAAATTTATAGAATTATTAATTTCAAACACTGTTTTAAATATTAGCTGCTTCTATTCAGTGAACATAAAGTACCGATATAAAGTAATTTTATTTTAATTGAAAGAGGCGTCAAATAAAATTCTGTAATTTCGTATAATATATATCCTCCGTCAATTCCTTTGCAACAAAACTAAATGGATTGCATTGAATAATTTAGTAGATTAAATCGTTTACTATTCAGTATTTATATTATTATCTTATAAGAAGAACAAAAAATCTACAATAACCTTTTTCTTGCACAAACCTTCATTTCTAACTAATTATCAACGAAAATCAATTAACAGACAAGTATATTCATACCAACAATAACTAGGAACAGTAACAAATAAACACACACATTTTTCAAATTCGAAACAACCAACTCTATTCAAAATCCAAACTGTCCCCATTTCATTCATTCACAGTTTCTTTCCATCTTATTTTCCCACATAAATTCTCTTGCTAAGAGAGCTTTTTCACCCAGCAAACGCCAATCTTGATGAAACTTACGTGCGACATAGTTCTAAAGAAAACATTTCATACGTATGTTTTCTTGTCGGGCAGCGTCCACTTTGAATGGGTGAAACACCCTTCAAAAATGAAGGTTGAAAGTGGACTTTCACAGTATTTATGAAACTAGAGTGTGCAGAAAAGCAACTTTTTCTTAAATTCGTCCCGAAATGAACAATTTAGACTTCTCTTCTACATATTCCAGTTTTAGAGATATAAAAAATACACTTTCAACCCCCAACTTTGAGAAGTATCTTCACCCGTTCAAAATGGACGCTGCCCGACAAGAGAAAATACGTATGAAATATTTTAGAACTATGTCTCACATAAATTTCATCAAGCGTTCGCTGGTTGAAAAGTTTCCCTTGTAAGTCGCGTAATCGGTTCAAAAAAGAACCACCCCGTATATCCTTCGAAGGACTCACGCACCTCGGCGTCCGGCAATGCGTATAAAATCGAATCCCGCGGGACAATGACGAGATCGCCGATAAAGTCGATCCAAATCCGAAAATGAGCGTCGTAAACTCCCTCTCCGGCCGTATGTGTGTATGCGCGTGGCTGGCTGCGACATTGTGGCCCGGTCCCATTAAAGTGGAACCGATAAAATGACTGTATCACTTTCCGCCGGCATCGTCACACAAATCACGTCGCACGATAAACCGTATCCGTTACATTCCTCTGTTCCAGGCGATGAAGATGAGCAAAGTGGGCAACCAGACCAATTCGCAGGACCCACAGGCGGTGAATTCCCGGGTTTTCGTCGGGAATCTAAACACGTTCCAGTGCAGCAAGACCGATGTGGAGCGAATGTTTCAACGTTACGGCCGTCTGGCAGGTAAGGTCTCTACTCAAACCTCCACGGGTCGCGTAAACGAAAGGTCAGATCAGCTCCTGATGCGTTTTTCACTGATTGCTACCCTGTCGAACGTCAGATTTCCTTTTAGTGGCGATGGCAGCTGATTATACGCTGTGGGACGTTGAAAACCGTAAGAGGATTCGGTGGTTGTTTGAATTAATTCGAATAGCTTTGATACGAGGGAGTCGCAAATTTATATGTTCCTTTTAGCAATTTTGATTGGAGCAAATTGCTTCTTACGAATGCACTCGTGAATATGACATTCGAAAAACTTCGTCTGATTGTGTCTTTTGTTGCTACGAGACTATTTTATTTTGTGGAAACTGTAATTGGTTTATTAAGATGATAGTTTTTAGTGTTGATGATTAATAAGAGTATTTTTGGTTGTTTGAAAGGAACGTTTCAAGATCGTTTTTAAACAAGGTTATTGTGTAGCCTGATTTTTTTAGAAATATTTATGGAATTAGGAATCTGTATGATGTCTGGTTAGGTTAAATTGATTAGTTTAATTAAACGGTATAAATAGTGACTAATTGGTTTCACAAAAAGTGTGACTGTGATTGTTTGAATTTCTAAGTCATCGGATTAGCTTGGTTTCCGTTTCTAATTAAAGTTTACGATGAAACGGACACCAAAACCTGATGAATTGTCTAGAGGAAATACATTCGCATGAAAATGAGCTTTTTATCGCGTCGAAGAATCCGCATGCAGCTAGTATAAAGTAGATTGAGGAATCAGTAGTCGAGCGGAATACTTGCACGACGAAAATCAAGAGATTCAAAGAGAAACTTTCATTTTGACGCTCCAATCAGTGCGCTGGTTGATTCCACGTTGTACTTTATTGTGCCTGTATAGGTAAAAAGCTAATTACTTGCAAGATTACATACTTTCAAAGCCCGATTCACAGAACTCTTTTGTTCCCTTCGTCGCAAACTTTAATTAGAAACGGAAAACCAAGTTTAGCTGATGATTTACAAATTTCAACTTAATTTCTTGCTACTTTCTTTATAAAAATGGCGACTTGTTACGCTGGGATTCGGCAAACTTTTTTGACAAAGTCTTAGAGTGTATCTAATAAGATATCTTTAAACTTTGCTGGCCAAAAGAAATTGAAAATAAAGTTGGTTGAGTCATCAGTTTACTAACAAGATTAAGAATATTATTTATTAATGGCCCATATAAAACCATACTTTTATATTTTGTTACTCAAAAGAAATTCGAAATACTTTTGCCATTATCCTACTAATCAGAATGAAAAGATCTTTATTATATTTTATTATTCAAAAGTAGTTGAAATATAATTACTTATTCCATCTACCAATTTACTAATGAGATTGAACGAAATAACGGCCGACGTAAGAACATGCAAAATGAAGTTAGTTCTAGCGGTTACCGATCCCTGTGTTAGAGATTCGAGAAATCTGTAATTGCCGTTCGTTCTCCGTGGCCCAAACCACGATCCGTTTTTGCACACCCTTTGAATGGTTAAGGAACAGGAAAGTGGAGAAAGCGTGACTAAAATATTATCGAGTTTCCGAGTTGGAAATTCGAGGCTAGCATGCGAAACTATTAACCTCGGTGAAAACTTGTTACTCCGCTAAATTTCAGATACACCGCACTGTAGTTCCGGAAACAGTTATGCAGTATAAACATCGCGAAAGTAGAATGGCAAGTGGAAAAGAACGATGAAGAAGTTCTCGCGATCAGTGCACGCATTTTCGTCTAATATGAACCGAATGAAATTTTGAATTGAACGATCGAACGAGGCGATGGAAATTTAGAAATTGATATTACTCGGAGGAACACGCGGAAATTCGAAATTGTCGGTAATAATGTTAATTTTATTCTCCGATGCAGATCGTCATATTGAAAATGTAGAAAATATTTGTTTTACTGTATGTTGCTCTCTTTACATCGGTAACTTTGAAATTTTAGTGAAACTGTTTTTACGAATACGGGTTTCATTTATTTTAGAAACATTTCAATTTGTGTTATTATAAACAATCAGTGTATTTGTAATTGCTGAAAATCTGATTGAATCCGTATATAACTGTTTCTCAAATTTCCCTCAAGAATACCTCTACCAAATCAAAATGATCAATTTTCCAATTTTCCAAATTGCCTCGACACTCCACAAAAGCCAAAATTTCCAAAATTGTTTCTCCAACAAGATTCCCAAAGACGCGCGCGGCAGTAATGCTTTAAAAACGTTCAAAACACAAGAACATTTCCGGTAATTCTTAACCTGTCCCTCAGTGTTCCCAGCGCAGCGAGGCCAGAACGAATGTGGTCCACCCAGAAAACTTTTTTAAAATGAAATTGGTGTCCAAGCGGTTCATCCGAGGACTCGCGGCGCGCCGGTGCAATCCGAGACGAAGTAAAAACAAAGGTAGAAAGCGAGCAACGTCGAGAGGGAAAGAGAAATAAAAGAGGAAGGTATAACCGCGACACGAATTAGAGGGTCAAAGGACAAGATAACGCGTGTTTTGTTGGTGGATCTTCTTGAATCATCGAGTTCCGGAAACCTTAGAAGCGAGGAGGTTGATAGGGAAAGGGGTAGTTACAAACTGGGCGAAGTTGAGGAGATTCAAAGATCGGGGGCTCGGATAACAGGAAAAACTCGCGCTGTTATCCGATATAAAAACGGCGGAGCGGCGTGGCTCGGGCCGAGAAAAATAGCGAGTTGGAAATAGGATTTTCTCGATACGGTCCGTCCTCGGTAACCCAATTTGCGCCGTGATAGCTCCTTGACCTTCGATATCCCGATTGGATATCCGTCTCTAGTTTCACGAACACCGATGACTCCATTGCTTTCATTGTGGCACTAACTTCGTTTCGGAAACGTACTTTATTGCGAGATACCGGGCCCCGCCCTCCCCCCGGCCCTTCGCGACGGGGAACGATAATAAATTGGAACTACGAAGATTGCGTTTCGCCACCGAATTCGGTTTAGATAAGTAGTTTTTCGGTGCCGGGAAACATTTTCCGCGGAAGTAATGTCGTCGGGTTTCGACCCTTTCGCATTGTCATTTGCGATTATTCGATAGAGTCGGGGAAGCAATCTTTGCTCCTAATTTTCTATTGGTTCTTCGAATTGTATTGGGAATTTTGTTCCTTTTCTCCTTGTTTTGTGTAGGTTCGTGTTGGTTGGGGATCTTTTAAAGTGTCAGTTTTTATTTTATCATGGAATTATTTGGGAAACAGTTGGAGACGGATGGGTTCATTTTTGTACTGTAAGGGTTTGTAAAATATTTTTTATTTATAATATAGGAAACATTTTTGATCGGTGGGATTATCGTTTCACCGTTTTGATTTAATTAATATTTCAAGGTCTGAGTTTAGCGTTTTGATAAAGTATTTTCGAGTGTTAGGAGTATTTAATTCGAAATTTGTGGAATTGGATGCTTGGGAAATTTATTTTTGATTCTCACGAAATATTTAATGTTAATTTCGTTTATTATGAATTTCGAGGGATGATGTTTGCAAGATCTGACGAGGCATGCAATATTCCGTAGACAAAACTGTGACACTTTTACCGGAGCAAGTTCCACAGAACTCGATCCTACTTATACGAATTTCGAGTTTCTTGGAGTCTGTTGCGTACAGCTGTCACTGCTGCGCAATACGATCCGTGTTTGGGTGTTCCTGGAGCAAGTAAAATTAAAGCGCAGTCTATGACGAAGTTTCCTTACAACTCACGCAGTACATCCCGCATTACGCCACTAATGAACACTTGCTACATCGCATTTAAATAACTCGGTGGCTGGAATATTGCGCGGAATACCGACAAATAATTATTAAAAATTGGTATAATTCTGCCGGTACAACGATAATTTCAAGAGGCCATGATACAAATATCTGAAATATATTGTTTCAATATGAAATATTATTCTGTAAAATTTGTAATTATTAGTAATTGTAATGTTCATAGCAAGGTATATTATTTCAGTACCCAAATATCAAAAATTACAGTAAAAATTGCTATTCAAACTATTTTAAAAGTGTTCTTGTTTAAAGTAGTGTACGATGTCTGACCATACGTCGACCTTATCTACTAGATTCAGGACCAGCGGTTCTCGTTACTTTCTGTTTAAAAATCTTCTTCTTACATTATTTTCATTGATATACAGTTAATCTGAATGTCTCCAAATTCTATTAAAATTCAAATAATTTCATATATTTTCCTATTCCACGCACAACGCATGATTAAATTACACGACACAATGCAAAGCATGTTTCGTTCATGAAATAAGCGTATAACAAAAATTAAACTCCATTTCGTTTATTACAATTGAAGTCACTCGTACAAAGGGACACAATAACACCAAATACAATAAAATTAAATTCACTTGCACAATAACAAATTCAGGTAACTTACATTTCAGTAAACATTTACAAAACGCATCTACAATACATTCTCCTTTCATCCTACATTTTCAACATAAAATACCTTCATTAGTATGGACATTCCGTACAGTTACGAATTTTTTCCCCAATAACTCTGTATGATTTGCAATGCTTCGTTTAAAATATATTTCAAAAGTCCATACCCGACAGAATGAAACATAATCAGTTTTAAAATGGAAACAGGAACAATTTGGAAATGATAAATATAATTCAACAAAAGAACATAAATCATCTCTGAAACAACTAACCAATCAAATCAGCTGATCACTATTACACTATACAATCTACAAAAACAAATTTACCAAGACCATCATTCACCTACATTCATTTTACACTACCAAATCAATCAACAATTACAAACAACGAAAATAACTTCACCCCGTTCACTAATCTCACTATCAACCATATTTCCCAAAATCCCCA